GTCTTAATGACACAATTATCAAACCCAATTGGGTCTCTGTTTCAATTCTAGTAGTCACATTCTAAATATGACTACTCACATAATACCTATTTAAACAGTCTGGTGCAGTCAACAACATACCAACCTACCACATGATCACCTTTCATCATGGAAGGCAGCATCTATCTGAAATTATATATTATTTATGATTTATGAAAGCTTTCCTGAGGATTCAGAAAGAAAATTCATGCACAAATATAGAAGCTAGGCACACACAGAAGCCAAAAGCTAGGAGGTGGTGATACACACCTTTAATCTAGGACTCAGGATTAAAGGTAGATGGATCTCTGTGAGTTCCAGGCCAGCCAGATCTATACATGATTGAATCAGTCTAAAAGAGAATTATAGCTCACATCTTTAATCCAAGACCTCGTGAGAGGTATATAGGTCAGTATCAGGATTCAATATGAGGCATTCCTTCTCCAGCCACACTGAGGAGAGTCATTGGTTTGAGACTTGGTGAAGAGTTCATGCATGGATCAGTCCTTTCAGCCTGAGCTCCAGGTGAAAGCTAGCAGGTGGCTGTTTTGCTCTTCCCAACTTCAGCTTGAAGCTTGAACCCCAATATCAGTCTCTAGGTCATTTATTTATTCATGTTACATCTATCAGCTAATTATCTTGTGACATTTAACCCTCAGCTTTACCCTACTCTAAATATAGCAAACATCACTTCCGTCTCAGTTTTATGTATGAGAGGACTGAGGCACAAGCCAAGTCTTTTATAAAGGGAGTTGACTGTCCAGGTATCACCAAGTTCCAGGACTTGCATCCTTCTAGCTATGTGCCCCAGTCTGTCTCTGTCTTCCTCTCTCTCTCTCTTATGTATTCACATAGAAGGAGAGGCAGGATAACATCCAGAAAACAAACAAATTGTTTATAGTAGGCTATATTTTAAAGGTAGAAATACTTCCTAAGCTTTAATAATAATTGCATTTCTTAAATCATAAGCATATTCACCAGGCTTCTGATGTACTACAAAAGCAATCTATTAATGAATGTCATGTCTGTATATCTTACCTTTAAATGATTTTTTTTCTGGGAGAGCACATGAGCACTTACTAATTTTATTCAATGCCTTTTGAATCAGATTTTTAATGGAATATTTTATATTTTATTTAATTTGCATATACACATATAATGTACTATTATCAAATCTAAACCTCTATTCCTGCCTCTCCAATTTCTTGCCTGTCCTCCCAACAATCATCTTTGTCTCCTTCTAACTTCATATGCCTTCCATGTCATTTTTCAAAATTACCAACTGAGTCTATTTAATTCTGCTTGTATATGCAAGAATGTGGGGCATCTACTGGGCCAAAATTCTGAATCCCTGAATAAACTGTACAAGAGCAGCCACCAATTATTCCTCAGGTAGTGGTACAACTTCATAATTCCATCTTTCATCCATTCTGTGTTTTTCCACTGGCTTGGTCTTATGCAGGCCTTGTGTTTACAGTGATAACAACGATAAGTTGTGTGTGCAACTTTTCTATCATTTCTAGCAATGCTATTCTATTACAGGTACCTATTCCCTCTGGCTCTTACAGATCTTTGAATCTTTGAGTAAGGAGTTTTATTCAGATGCCCTGACTGGCTTCTAACTCATTATGTAGACCAGGCTTACAAACTGCTTTTGCCAACCCCTCTCTACCAGGTGCTGGGATTTAAGGTATGTGATTCCACATCAAGCTTAAATGCTTTGCTCTTGAATAATAATAACTCTTTTGTTCACCCATATCTATGATATCTTATCCCTCTTTGTCTTTCCTTTCCTCATCATCTTTTTCATTTTCTTTTATTTTTATTTTTCAGAAAGGATCTTTTTTTACTGCTCAGATTGAGCTTGAACTTGTTATGTAGTGCAATCCTTAGGATCTCCCTGCCTTCACGACCTGAGTTCCAGAACTATAGATATGTACCACTATTCCCAGCCCTTTGATGCTCTATGATTCTTCTAATTTCAGTAGATGTGAATTTCTAGCAAGTAGCAACACCAGTAAAAAAAAATAAAGGTTTCTATTAGAGAATATATTTGTATATTCCTTCATTTATTTTGTTCCTCAGGAGCACTTTCTCAAGTCTTGAGGCATCTTCATCTTTAGAAGTTTAGAGCTAGAGAATAATGTGTTGTTCCCTTTCTTGCTAGAGAAGTGATTGGTGTCTTAGACCACTAGAGTTTTAGGAACATTAAGAGCATTATAAATTTTTGATTACTCTTCCTATAAGTTCTTAGAGAGAAAGACAATGAAAAAACTTCTTTTAAATAACATTCTAAATCATATTATCACCCCCTAACAGTTTACAAAGCTATTCAAAAGTCAGATAGACAGATTACCTTAAGAGAGAGATTTTGCTCAGATGATTAATGAATAGCTCCCATGTGCATTTGCAGATTTTCCATAAGAGCTGAAAATTTCTTTCTGCTAAATACATTGTGCAACTTCTACATCTATTTGCTTGAAAATATACATCATTACATGTATATTAGAATATATGTCAGTTTCTTTATTCCAATAAATAGCCACTAGACAGTACATTGCTCAGATAAAATACTGCAATTGACTTTCACATGTAAATTCTAGCACTATAAACTTGTCACATTTGCTTCCAAACCCTTCTAATCATTACCTCCTTTGAAAACCATGTCTGTGTTAAAAGGTACTAGAGTTAGTTATACTCTACTTTTTAGCAACATTTCTCACCTGGCTCATTTTAGGTTAAATAAGAAGGAAGCCAGACTGCTTTACAAATAATAAACATGTATTTGTTACATTTCAGGGTTATTAAAGTAAAAGATCACTGACCCATCACATACAGTGTCTAGTGAGGACTTGTCTATCATAGTCAGATATTCTCTGACATAAGCTATTTAAATGGAATGGTGGGAGAGAAGCATTGGTTTATAAGGTTTGAAAGATTCTTGTTTTCTATTCTTTAACATATCAGCTAAGTTGATGGCAGTCTGATAGTTTAAGAACAAAGAATCACATGAATCTTTCCCCAGTTCTCAGCCACATCAAGGACCCCTATTTCTTGAAGGATGGAGAAGGAACTAAATCCAAACTTGGGACTGAAAATCAAGAGCCAACCCTATTTGGATGCAAACAACTTCTGAACACATCTCTATACCAGTACCTGCTATGTGATCTGATGGAATTACAGTATCTGGGTGTTGAGTGTGGTGATATATTATTTATGATTTAATAAAACTTGTCTGAAATATCAGAATGCAAAGCCACACTAGACAGCCACTGAGGCAGTGATGGCACACACCTTTAACCCTAAGACTCAGGAGACAGAGGCAGATAGATTTGTCTGAGTTCAAAGCCACCCAGGGCTACAGAAGTATGAATTAGTCAAAAAGAGTAACAGCTCACACCCTTAATTCCAGCACTAGAGAGGTATGAAAGGAATAAGCAAAGGGTCTCATGTGGCTATTAGTCTCTAGCCATGTTGAAGAGAACATAGCAGTCCAGGATTGTGAGGCTTAGTGGAGAGCCCTGCAGTCTAGAGATGCAGTCTGAGGTTCAATGGATTCTTTTTGGTCTGAGCATTGGTAGAGGAGAGAATTCTCCAGTGGCTGGCTGCTTTGCTTCTTTGGTCTTCAGCTTGAACACCCATATCTGTCTCTGGGCTTTATTAATGGTGTTAACAGTTGAGAGACTGCTGTCCCTCCTCCTCAAAATGCTGGGAAAAAAGAGTTGAGATGAGGATTCCAGTGCTTGAGAAAGCAAGGTTCAAACGCAACATTGTAATTTGCTGTGGATCTCAGTGCTAGGCCTATATTAGTGAGATGATAGCAAAGCATATGAGTAAAGGAATTCTCTAAAGACTACACATAACAATACTAGGAATTATATGACAACCTCAGGAAGAAAGAGCCAGTTGCATGGGAGGGTGGGAATACATTTCATGATATTTCTGAGAGAATTACTCATTGCAGGCCAATTAGAGAAAATGGCATGGAATATTACTGCAAATTAGAGTATCTACTCAATGCAAGTGAACTTTTTAGGAGGTAACAGAGCACTGTGTTTATCTGTGAAATTGCGATCACTATAAGTGCTGCTTATTTAAAACATTTCTTAGAAGGAATGGGACCAAAATGAAATGTATATAGCATGGTCTCCTAAAGGGGAGGACACTGAAATATTAGAGACATTAAATAGTGCTGTTTGTAAAGGAAAAAAGGACTTCTGTGGAAACCCAGTGGCGGTATTTGTAGCTGTTTCAGCTACCATAAGCCCCATGGATATTAAGAAGTTGGGATACTCTACATTACCAATGCTTTGTAGCACCAAGGCTTCACTGATCAGGGATACAGCCCGGAAATCTTGTATAATCTTGAATATATAGAGTAGAATGAATGTCTGTCTTCATTTACCATGTTTCCAAGGGTGATAACCCAGTGAATTTCAGACCTAAGCTGAAGTGACTGCTGTATTAATTAAAACTGTGAATAATATCATGCACACGGAACACATACATTATGGCTGATGGAATCTGTGCTGTAAAGAATGTCAGAAGTATCTGCTGTCTTCCTTTTGTGATATGAGAATACTGTTGACTAATATCCCTTCCCCACAACAACACATATTTGAAGATCAGGCTCAGTCTCACCAAACAGACTGAAGTTCAAAGTATGTTGACAGTTAACTTTGAATACATGTGCTGGTATCTCACTCAGTACTCCTTCAACAATGTTATTCAAGCCACCCATTATACCTTTCCCAAATTAAACAATGACAGCCTTTTCTTCCACCCTACTATACGGGTCAGGTCCAAAAAAAAAAAAAAAAAAAAAAAAAAAAATAAGAGATGCAAGGCACCCTATTTGCCAGGTGTGAGGTCACCCTGTAGGGAACTCAAAAGTACCATTGTTCTGCTCCTTCCTATAAGAGAAGTGCCCCTGTTGTGTTCACTCCAACAGACCTGAGAGCAACTCCAGAGCCTCTGCCAGGATGCTGGTGGTCCTGCTGACAGTGGCCTTGCTGGCCCCGAGCTCAGCTCAGCACTCAAGTGAAGGTATTAGAAAACATGCTGGGAATGAATTTTTGTATGTAAGAAAAAGAGGGGAATAGAGGACAGCAATATTATAATCAAAGTATTATATATACTGGAGAAGTAGTCTTGTCATAAAATGGGTTCAAGACAGATAAAGGAGGTAAGTATGCACCCAAACTGCTGGAGAGACAGAGAATCAGATAGCAAGCTTGATCCTTATATGTAAAAATAGACATGTTAAGGCTCAATTTGCACATATTTAATTTAAAAATTGAGGAGAGAATTTCATACATGAACACTCTATTTACATTGTTTCCATTCCTACCCTCCTTCCTCCAACTCCTCCCATGTTTCTCCCCCACTCTTTCTCAAGTTCATGACTTCTGTATTACACACACACACACACACACACACACACACACACACACACACACACACCTGAGTCTATTTAGTGTTGCATGATGTAGATGTGTTTAGGGTTGACCATTGGACAACTGATCAGGACATTCACCTTTGAAGAAAACTCAGTCTCCCTTTCTCAGCAGCTGTTTGATCTTTGCCTAGGGGTGGGCTTTTATTCCCACAGCCATTCAGAATTTCAGTGTGCAACTGTAGCACATATGACATGGTATAGATGTTTGTCCTTTTATTTTCTTCTCGGGGAAGCTTGCTAACATAAGTAAAGGAAATGATGAAAACAGGTAATAATATAGCAAAACTTGGCCTTGAATTAAACATACCAAATACTAGCAATAAGTTTGGAGCAATTCTAGGAGGACATAAAGATATGCTCTATTTTTTAGGCAGGTGGTTGTGATTCATTTCATCCACCTGCCTAAATGAGAACATTTCAGAGTGTGGCTGACAAGATCTTACAGATAGTAGAGGTTACCAGTGGAAATCAAATCTCCTATCAGATGTTTTTGAGTTTAAAAAAATTGATACCTAAGTTTTCCTGTAATTTTACTTTCTTGAGAAATCCAGTACCTTGTTTCAATGAAATTGGTGATAAAGTGCATATTATTTCATAGAAGTCAACTGTGATGGTATTTCCTTCCTATATTTAAAGATAAGTTTATCTTCCACTGTCTTTTTTCTTAGGAATGTTAATTTTAATAATTTAGACAAATCTTCTTTACCCCTACTGGGACCCATCAGTTTGAACAGCTCTCCTGTTCCCCAAAGGAGAAATAACTGTTGAGACATGACTCCCAAATGCAAAGTGTACTTATTTTTACTCTTCCATGTTACTAAGATTTGTTAAGCTGTTTCTTTTTTCCTCAATATTTCTCTCAAGAATTACAGTTTTATTTTTAGAAATGAACAGAATTTTTTTCCATGCCCCTTTCCCTAACCAACTGCATTCTTGAAACAATACTCAGTGTGACTATTCAGAGAATTTGTTGGGGGAAATTTCTGTCTTTCTCTGGTTATGCTGCATTTCTGTGCATTTTTAGATCCTTGAATAACTAGCTTTGTCTCATAAGTCAGCTATAACCATCCCACTTGGTTTCTTGGAATTGTAATGCATATGAGCTAAAATTTCATCTTTTTTTATGAATTTAAGGTAAACTTCTTGTCCCAATAGTTTAGAAATGAATTCTACCATATCACTAGCATATAGAACAATATTCAAGACCAGGAAATAGACATGATAGTAGTTGGCTGCTAGGAATTACTTCTAGACAGGCAATGTGTGATGAGGCCAGAGAAATACAAAAGGAAGTCTTCCACCATTAGTTTCATCATATTTCTGCATCATATTTAAACAGAGACTAAGGAGCAAGATGAGTACATACTTCTGAGACCACCTCCTGAGGCATATCCACTCCAACCCTCTGCTAGCAGTGAAAGGCAAGAGGACATGCCACACTCAAGACCACCCCATGATGGAGACAAACACTCCAATTCTCACCATCCTCCACCCCACCAACACAGACCACCCCATGGTGGAGGCAACCATACACACCCTCCTCGCCCCGACCAAGGCAACCAGACACAGCCTCGTCCTCCTCGACCAGACCAAGGCAACCAGACATACCCTCGACCTCCTAGACCAGATCAAGGCAACCAGACTCACCCTCGTCCTCCTCGCCCTGACCAAGGCAACCAGACACACCCTCGACCTCCTCGCCCTGACCAAGGCAACCAGACACACCCTCGTCCTCCTCGCCCTGACCAAGGCAACCAGACACAGCCTCGTCCTCCTCGACCAGACCAAGGCAACCAGACACACCCTCGACCTCCTCGACCAGACCAAGGCAACCAGACACAGCCTCGTCCTCCTCGACCAGACCAAGGCAACCAGACACACCCTCGACCTCCTCGCCCTGACCAAGGCAACCAGACACACCCTCGACCTCCTCGCCCTGACCAAGGCAACCAGACACACCCTCGACCTCCTCGCCCTGACCAAGGCAACCAGACACACCCTCGACCTCCTCGACCAGACCAAGGCAACCAGACACAGCCTCGACCTCCTCGACCAGACCAAGGCAACCAGACACACCCTCGACCTCCTCGACCAGACCAAGGCAACCAGACACACCCTCGACCTCCTCGACCAGACCAAGGCAACCAGACACACCCTCGACCTCCTCGCCCTGACCAAGGCAACCAGACACACCCTCGACCTCCTCGCCCTGACCAAGGCAACCAGACACACCCTCGACCTCCTCGCCCTGACCAAGGCAACCAGACACACCCTCGACCTCCTAGCCCTGACCAAGGCAACCAGACACAGCCTCGTCCTCCTCGACCAGACCAAGGCAACCAGACACACCCTCGACCTCCTAGCCCTGACCAAGGCAACCAGACACACCCTCGACCTCCTCGCCCTGACCAAGGCAACCAGACACACCCTCGACCTCCTAGCCCTGACCAAGGCAACCAGACACAGCCTCGTCCTCCTCGACCAGACCAAGGCAACCAGACACAGACTCGTCCTCCTCGACCAGACCAAGGCAACCAGACACACCCTCGACCTCCTCGCCCTGACCAAGGCAACCAGACACACCCTCGTCCTCCTAGACCAGATCAAGGCAACCAGACACACCCTCGTCCTCCTCGACCAGACCAAGGCAACCAGACACACCCTCGACCTCCTAGCCCTGACCAAGGCAACCAGACACACCCTCGACCTCCTCGCCCTGACCAAGGCAACCAGACACACCCTCGACCCCCTCGCCCTGACCAAGGCAACCAGACACACCCTCGACCTCCTAGCCCTGACCAAGGCAACCAGACACAGCCTCGTCCTCCTCGACCAGACCAAGGCAACCAGACACACCCTCGACCTCCTCGACCAGACCAAGGCAACCAGACATACCCTCGTCCTCCTCGCCCTGACCAAGGCAACCAGACACACCCTTGACCTCCTAGCCCTGACCAAGGCAATAAAAGGTAATCAGATATAACCCTATCAATTTCAATCTATAAAAGCTCCATTATTTTTTCAGTGGGTCAAATGTAAAGGCACAAAGCCAACTACCTCATTAGACTAAATTCAGCATTCCTTAGAATTGTGCTTTATTTATGCAGCAAACACCTTAGTTCCTACACTTTCCACATTTACAAAGTCCCTAAATGGATATGTGAAGCAACATGTCCACAGAGCATATTTATAAGTGTTTTATTTCAACTTTTTTTTGCATTTAAAAAATTATTCCAAATAATTTTGATATTTCTGGAGCTTTGTTTCAATATGTTCTTTTCTGCAGTAATATCGTTTCTCTTACCTGCATTGGTTTGGGGTCATCTTCCTTCCCTGAGACCCTCTGCTTTCCTCTTCAGCTTCAAGGACGTCCCCTGTCAGGCTACTATTTGACTCATTATAGATGTGTACTCAGGCTCAGTGCTCCTGTTAAGTGATACTCAAGTCTATATGTCTATATATCTTCTAGACTTTCAAATGCTTACTTGGCTCATTGAACCAGCACACTAAAACTAAAAGTAAAGTGAAATAGTAATCTAACAACAAAATACCTCGACATGCTGCTAAATTTAAAATGTCTGCCTCATTTTATATTTCTCCACATTTCTCACTGGAAACCTCATTTGGAATGACACTTTTGGTATCATCTTGGAAATGTTTAAACAACAGTTTTCCCTGTAAGTTATAGGTAAAAACCTTTTGCTTCCCATTTCAAACAATATATTTCTTTATTTTTAATTATTAAAATGTTGGCCAATGGCTAGGGCTTCTTATTGGCTAGCTCTGTCTTATTAACCCATTTCTGTAAATCTATGCATTTCCACATGGTCTTGGCTTACCAGAGAATGCCTGGACCTGTTACTTCTTTGGCCGGCTAAATGGCATATCTCCTGGAAGTATCTCTGGCTACCATTCCCAGAATCATCCTCATCTTCTTGTCCTGCCTATCTTCCTGCCTCTCCTGGCTATTGGCCAAGCATTGTTTTATTCATCAACCAGTAAGAGTAACATCAAACAATATATTTCTTTTATCAGTATTTTCTTCCTTCATTTTTCTGCCTTCCCAACACTCTTTTTCCTCCAACTCTTTGTTTCTATTCCTCTCAACCTCTTGCTGCTTTTTCTTTCATCTTCACCATTCTCCTAATTCTACAGCATACATGATGTAACCATTCCATTATAATCTTGATTGCATCCTGTTCATAGATGTTTGGTTACCTTTCAATGTCACTTTGCATTTAACAATGAACACTTTGTAAGTATGTCATTTTTCATTTTCAGTGATAGCTAAAAGATAAATTAACTAAGAACAACCTTCATTTCCTCATGGTATAAGCTACAGCTTAAAGAACATAATGTGTGTGCTATGTGCCTAACAAGAATGAACAAAACACTATTAGGAAAAAAAAAAGGATGGAAGGAGAGAAAAAGCCACAAAATCAGGCTCCCGACTATTCTTGTCAGTGAATGCAATGATAGTCAGGAACTTTCTGCTATAACAGTCCATATCTATTATCTTTCTCAGTTTGGGTTTTTGTTTGTACACAGGAGATGAGAAAATATCATTCAGAAGTTATGGTACTAGAGCTGTGCATGTTCCTTTGTCTTCCCAACACTCAAGAGACTGAATTCAAAACGAGCCCAAGCTACACATCAAGACTCCATCTCATTTATGCACAAATAAATAAAAGGAGGTATACCGCTGAAACCATAACTATATCTTCAGCTTCACAATAAATAGCTAGAATACAATTTCTTGTGTTGTATCTTTTCTTGATGGATGGAGGATAGTAAATGTGACAGGCTGTGGATCCAAAATCAGAGCATCCATGGCTCTTTTTCATGAGTGCTTCTGGAAAGCTTCTCTTCCCCCTTTACCCACAAGCCAAGTTTCAAGTGAAAGACTTGAGATTTTCTGAACTCTACAGGGCAAAACTTTACATAAGTTGCTTTTATAATATTTATTATTAATACATTATAATTTTAAAGAAATAGGGAATAAACAGGATACAAGGCAATTATCCTTACAATTACTATAATTGAACTAGGTTTCAGATATGAAAGTGGTTGCAAGCTGATCCTCTTATGGATTGTGCCCTTGATTCTCACTTCTGACACTTCATAGGCATTCAACATTTCTTATTGATTATTTCTTTCTTTGGTTTAGTTTGGTTAGTGTTGTCTTGCTATCTCTCTCCCCCATCTCCCTTTCATTCTACACACACACACACACACACACACACACACACACACACACACACACGGTCTCACTTGTGGTTTAGAATTCTCAATGTATACTAGCTAGGCTGGTATCAAACTCACACTTTGCCTCTATCTTGCAATTTCTGGGATTTAGGTTGGTATCTCTAACATCTTATCTATATATGGGCAGATTTCCACATAAGATGGAGCATGATGGATTTTAAGGTGTAGTTTGAGTCTTTCTGATATGATTTGGTATTTATCTTCCTAATAGTCTTTGCTTATTTATTAAGAGTTAAAATTATGAATAATAGCAATATACACAGATACATTAGATTTTTAGGTGTTTCATACAATTCCTTGAACATATATTAATCATATCTATCTATGCAACTCAATGAAGGTGTGACATTATTTCCTGTTTCCTATGAAAGTTCAGTACATACAATAATCTTAGCTGAATCTCTTCCTTTTGATAAGGAAAGAGGATTAGTTCCTTTGGGATATCCAAGAGCCCTCCCAAATTTTCCAAAGTTACTTTGGGAAAAAAAAAGAGATATCTGAATTTTGAAACTGATTTTTGAAAGTAATCAAACTATCAAAAGTTTGGAAACACTTGGATTAATAAAATCATGGCTTGGTGTCAAACTATGTCAAAATGTCAAGATATTATAAGCATTCGTGGATGTTACTTAAAAGACAAAAGGGTATTTTGTGTTTTAACTATATAACTATATATATATATATATAATTTAATTTAATTTTTTCATATTAACAGATACTTAATCAACTACTTGTATACCAATGTTTATTTCAGAATTTTGATTTTCCTAAAAGCTACATATTCATAGACTGTTGCTCTTACCAGTGCTCAGTTCCCAGCAAACACATTGGATGACTCATAATCTCTTGTAACTCCAGTCCAGAAGAGAGTTGTATAGAAACCTTGAATATATGCAGAGCATCATTATGAGACCACAATTAGAATCAACCTAGAACAATGCACAGCCAATGAAGGAATCATAAAACAATTAATTATATGGGGTTTCATCGTTATGTTTGATATATATATTTTTTTTTGTTTCTAAGGATTTCTCCTAGTACCATCCTCATGATCTAATTTCCTTAATAACAATATTTTATGAAATTCAAGCCAGATTCTCTTTTCTGTGTTTTCAGTCTCTTCTAGTATGTCAGCACTACATGTTGTCCCAAGTCCAGATAATGGGGAGCAAATTGCTGCATTGTTGCTATTTCAGCACTAGCAAGCTTTCCAAATCTAGGTTTGCACTAAGCCATATTTGGACAAGGATAAGGAGGCATTTCCATGTGCTAGATAGTCTGTCCTTGCCACACTCTGTGTTTGGAGTGGGTTCACACTCACCAGTAACCCTGTAATGCAGCATTGCAAAATTCTCCTCCGCTCTGGTAGCAATCAACTGGAAACAGCTACCTCTGGGTTGCTATAGCATTGCTATAGCTACAGGGCCCCAACACAGTGCTACTTCCTCAATAAACAACACCCCAGCAGTGAGGGACTACAACCATCCCTGGTTCAAATGACTGAAAGAAAAATTCACAGAATGGGGCTTGTGACTATGCCTGCCATTCAGATTGTTCCAACAGCTCAAACACACATTGTAGTTCACAGTGGGCGGTTTTAGCATCTGCCCTGTTCCATGTTTGACCATCCTGACTTCAAGTGCCAATACAATATTTTGCCAAGTGCTATATCCTGCCTTCAGTGGAGTCTTGTTAAAAACTCTGCTGAACAAGGTTCTAATTTACTGTTAACGAAGGAAGTCTCTAAGCCTATGTGGTTGATGCTCACCTTGGTTGAATCTGAGTCCCAGCGTTTCAGAAACTTGCACAGTCTAAAGGTTAATACTCCCCAAACCTGGGAATAACGTAGGCAAAAACTGATTCTAACCCATTGGAAAGAGGGTGCAAGCCTAATGTTCTTTTTAAAAGATCTGGCCTATGTAAAGTGGTCTCATGTTGTTGATCCTGACACTGAGCTTCAAATAAACTTCCAGTGCTCCCTTTTATGCTGTTTTCCATTAGGTAGAAGGCACACTCTTTCCTTTATCCTATACTGGGGAAGAGAGAGGAAGTGACAGTAATGGCAGACCCTTGGCCACTAGGCTTATGCAGTTTCAGTAGTAGGTTGCAGTATAGGTTAAGGCCAGGGATGTCATGGATCTGTGTGGAGTTAGTTTTTATAAAATCAGACCTGGCAGTAGGTTTGAAGCCAGATTTGTCAAGGCATCTAATTATGTTTACCTCCCTCATGTAGAAAGTGTTTCTCAGATGAGCTGTGTGTTGTTAGGGAAGAAGTGACATGAGCATTTCTTTGCTTCTTAGATTTTTAGTCATTCTTGACAATGACTTCCTGCATCTCTGACATTTGTACTTCTTAGAATGTGTTCAATGTATATATTGGAGATCCGCCCTCTGTCAGATGTGGGGTTGGTGAATATCTTTTCCTATTCCATGGGCTTCCATTTAGTCTTGCTGACTGTATCCTTTGCCTTACAGAAGCCTCTCAGTTTCAGGACATCCTATTTATTAATTGTCATTATTAGTGTCTGTGCTACTGGTGTTATGTTCAGGAAGCAGTCTCCTGTGCCAATTTGTTCAAGGGTACACACCACTTTCTCTTCTAAGAGATTCAGTGTGGTTGGGTTTATGTTGAGGTCTTTGACTATTTGGATTTAAGTTTTGTGCATGGTGGTAGC